TTACACAATAATTAATAATACTAATTCAAATAAATTTTGAGAAGTAGTTTTGATGAATATATAATATCATGGGGTATTTGATGATAATTGTGATATTATGAGTGATTTACTTTTAGTTTTTGACGGATTAGCTATCATTTAAAATTGCTAATTATTTCCTAAAACTCAAATGACATTCTAAAAGAGACCAATGAGAACCTTAAGTTGGGATGAAGGTAACACATTAGAAAAAAGTGTTGAGTCTATTCTAAATTATTCAAATATTTAATTATTGACTATATATACACGATGCTAATATGAGTGTTCATCAGTTTGATTTCATAGTCGTTTGTCTTATTGATTCAAAAGAAGTGAAATCGAGAACTGGAATGCACCGTTAAATCCATTTGTTCAATTTCAATTTAGTCGATTTCAATCACTTTACATGCGATTCATCATGTTTCGGCCAATTTATGCATGTTTAGTCAGTTTTTAAATACAAAATCACAAACCGAATCGGATAGAATCGAGTTAATTTTGGTGTTAGTTCAATTTTGGTGTTAGTTCAATTTTGGTTAATTTTGTGTTATCGATTTTTTCGTTAGACCCAATCATAATTAAACTAACTCGCAAAGTATGAAAAACAAATAATTTTGGTATCTCCGAATAACATCATCTTCTTCTAAAATACCATTGTCCTTTAATATCCACACCATCAATTTATCAATACTTTATGTCTCGATTAAAAAAAAATCAATACTTTATGTCTTAAAATACAAACACTTCTATTCATATTTCTTAAACTTTCTCATTTAAGTATTTTACAACATGGCGTTAGAGGTAAGTCGAATGATGTATTTGTTTACATGAAGGAGTTGGGGATCTCAAGAAATGTTTTTAAAAAGTTACACACATTATTGAACTATGTAATTTTTTTTCATTTTATGAAAATCATATTTTTGTTATAATATGAAAGGAAATGAGCAGAAGATCAGGGAGAGAAAGTATAGTAGAACACTTAGTGATAGAGGTGTATTAGAGAGTGTGATAATGGTGTAATGAAGGTGTGTTGATTACAATGGAGAAGACTCCTATTTATAGGAGAAAAGCTAAGCTTATTAGGATTAGAGGATAATTGTGAACCACACAATTATCATCTAGAATCATAATTATGATTTCCTAATTATTTATAAAATGGTGATAAGTATTCCTAATCAGGAATAGTTGGAAGATGACTAATTCAATATATTTCAACACTCCCCCTTGAATGGTCATCTTCTAATTATTCTAGGGTATTAGTATCATAGTACTATAATGTACTGTCTCGTTAAAAACATTTGTCAGGAAAAACCCAGTGGGATAAAATCCTGGCGAAGGGAAAAAGAGTGCAGTGCATTATATTACTCCCCCTCAATTTAACATATATCTCGAAGACGACACATTCCAATTTTGTGGACCAGTTCTTCAAATTTCTTCGGTGCTAATGACTTTGTGAATAAATCAGCAGGGTTGTCGCAGGACTTGATTTGTTTGACATCAACTGTTCCTTCTTTCTCAAGATCATGTGTGGAGAAAAGTTTTGGTGCTATATGCTTTGTTCTATCCCATTTGATGTAACCTCCTTTGATCTGAGCTATACATGTTGTGTTATCTTCATAAATCACAGTAGGATTACAAGTAAAAGATTTTATACCACATTCATTTTGTATGTGCTGGATCATTGATCTCAACCAGACACATTCTCGACCTGCTTCATAAAGAGCAATTAATTCTGCATGATTTGATGATGTGGCAGTTAATGTTTGCTTCATTGATCTCCATGAGATAGCGGTATCACCATAGGTGAATACATATCCTGTTTGTGATTTTGCCTTTTGTGGGTCAGACAAGTATCCTGCATCGGCATAGCCAATTAAAGTGGCATTTGCACCATTCTTGAAATACAATCCAAGATCGATTGTACCATTGAGATAGCGGAATATATGTTTGACGCCATTCCAATGTCTTCTTGTCGAAGAAGAACTGTACCTGGCTAATAAATTTACAGAAAAAGCAATATCTGGTCGTGTATTATTAGCCAAATACATTAACGCTCCAATAGCACTCAAATATGGTATTTCGGGACCAAGGATTTCTTCATCATCTTCACAAGGTCGAAAAGGATCATCATGCACATTGAGAGATCGAACCACCATCGGGGAATTGAGTGGGTGAGCTTTTTCCATGTAAAACCGCTTCAAAAGTTTCTCGGTATAATTTGATTGGTGGATAAAAATACCATTTCTCAAATGTTCAATTTGAATGCCGAGACAAAATTTTGTTCTCCCAAGGTCTTTCATTTCAAATTCTTTCATGAGATATTTAGCAGTATTTTCAATTTCATTGGAAGTTCCGATTATATTCAAATCATCAACATATACTGCAATTATGGCGAATCCTGATTCAAATCGCTGAATGAAAACACATGGACTAATAGGATCATTTTTGTATCCTTCTTTAATCAAATATTCACTTAGACGGTTATACCACATGCGTCCAGATTGTTTTAATCCATATAATGACTTTTGCAATTTTATGGAAAATAAATCTCGAGATTTCGAGCTATAAGCACCAGGTATTTTAAAGCCTCCAGGAATTCTCATATATATATCTGTATCGAGTGAACCATATAAATATGCGGTCACTACATCCATTAACCGCATTTGCAGCCTTTCAAAAACAGACATGCCAATTAAAAATCGTAAAGTAGTAGCATCAACTACTGGAGAATACGTCTCATCATAATCGATTCCTGGCATTTGAGAAAAACCTTGGGCAACAAGTCGGGCTTTATATCTAACGATTTCATTTTTCTCATTGCGTTTACGCACAAACACCCATTTAAAACCTACAGGTTTTACGCCTTTTGGCGTGTGGACAATTGGTCCAAAAACATTACGCTTTTCTAGCGATTTTAGTTCTACCTGAATTGCTTCATTCCATTTTGGCCAATCGTTTCTACGACGACATTCATCAATAGATTTAGGCTCATTGTCATCGTGTTCATTCATTATATCTGTGGCGATGGCATATGAAAATATATCGTTAACATCAATATCTTTTCTATTCCATTGCATTCCATTAGAAACGTAATTGATTGAAATTTCAAAATTATCAACGTTTCTATCTGTATCTGGAATATTTACCTCTTCAAAGGTGATTGGATCCTCTTTTGAGGTATCCTTATTATTGATGTTATCTTCAATGCCAATATTATCATAATGTTCATTTTCTTCTTGAGAAGGTTGAACTTCTTTGGCATCACAAACTACATCTTGCTTTTTCAATTTTCTTGGTTTCAAATCTCTTGAATCAAGTGGTCTACCACGTTTTTTACGTATCATAGATTCATTAGCAAGAGTTCTTTCGCTAATCTCCGCAGGAATTTCTATTCGAGAAGGAGTATTCATAGCTGGAATATGTGACTTCGTCACTTTCTTTGAGTCTGTGAAAGCATCAGGCAATTGGTTTGCAACACTTTGTAAATGAATGATCTTTTGAATTTCTTGTTCACAAGCATTTGTGCGAGAATCAAGAAAAGATAAATATGTTGCATTCCAAGTAATATCTTCCGTACGTGGGTCCATTTCTTTATTATCTCCCCCTAAGGCTGGGAATACTGTTTCATCAAAATGACAGTCATCGAACCGTGCGGTGAATAAGTCACCAGTCATAGGTTCTAGATAATTAATAATTGAGGGAGATTTAAAACCAACATAAATTCCCAGCCTTCTTTGAGGACCCATTTTAGTACGATAAGGTGGAGCAATTGGTACATACACAGAACAACCAAATATTTTTATGTGTGATATATTTGGTTCTTTACCAGATATTAATTGCAATGGGGAAAATTTATGATATGCAGTTGGCCTGAGCCTAATTAAATTTGCAGCATGCATTATAGCATATCCCCATGCAGATGATGGTAATCTGGATTTCATCAATAATGGTCTAGCAATTAATTGTAATCGCTTAATTAAGGATTCAGCAAGACCATTTTGTGTATGCACATGTGGAACTGGATGTTCCACATCAATCCCAATTGACATGCAATAGTCATTAAAAGATTGGGATGTAAATTCCCCTGCATTATCAAGTCGGATTTTCTTTATTGAAAAATCCGGAAATTGTAATCTCAAACGAATAATTTGAGCAAGGAGATTTGCAAATGCAAAATTTCTAGTCGATAAAAGACTGACGTGTGACCAACGTGTTGATGCATCAATGAGCACCATAAAGTATCGAAAGGGTCCACACGGAGGGGCAATTGGCCCACAAATATCTCCTAGAATTCTTTCTAAAAATGCAGGAGATTCAACTCCAATTTTGTATAAAGATGGCCTGATAATTAATTTGCCAAGAGAACAGGCTGTGCATGAGAAATCACTTGATTGTGGAATTTTGACATTATTTAATGAATGTCCAAGTGAATTTTGAATAATTTTGTGCATCATAGTGCTGCCTGGATGACCTAAACGGTCATGCCACAAGATAAAGGAATTGTGGTTATTAATTTTAGATACCACATTTATCTCAATTGGACTGATATATGTATAATATAGTCCGGAGGAATATGCTGGCATTTTTTCTGAAATGTATTTATTGCCAGATCTATTTGTCGTTAGACATAAATATTCCTTTTGATTTTCAGACATGGTTTCAATGTGAAAACCATTTAGACGCATATCTTTGAAACTCAAAAGATTTCTCCGTGATTTACTGGAGTATAAAGCGTCTTTAATTATTAATTTTGTCCCTTTTGGGAGAATTACACAGGCTATTCCAGAACCTTCAATGAGTTTAGCAACACCTGAGATTGTATTGACATTAGCATCAACTAATGTCATATGACAAAAATAATCTCTATGTCTCAAAATGGTGTGCGTTGTGGCACTGTCTATTAAACATTGTTCAAAGCCATTTGGAGAAATTTCAGTTAACTCCATATCTTTAAAAAGATAAAAATGAACAAATATTAGTTCAATATTGCAATATAAACAAGAATTTATTCATTAAAATGTACATAACTTTTACAACCGAAACAAGCATATCAAATAAAAATTACAATACAACAAACTTTTATTGTAGAATATATTACATAACAGAATAATTTCATTTTTATTATTATTATTTTTCACCCATGACGATGTCAGTGTTCATCTCATTATTATCCATATAGAAATCAGACATATTAAATGTGGGCATTGGTGGAACGTTTTCGTTGACGTAATTAGTTTCCACATTCTTTCCTTTTAGAGATGATTTATATAAGTCAACCAAATGTGTAGGTGTGCGACACTTATTTGCCCAATGTCCTGACGTGCCACATTTAAAACAAGTGACTTTAGCCTTTTCTGAAGATTTCGTCGGGCCTCTTGTTTGATGGGGGTTTTGCTTTCCCTTGCCTTTGTAAGAGCTACTACTCTGTTTGTTTCCCCGGCTAGGTCCATTATAACGACCAATACCACGACCACGTTTGAAATGTCCACGAGCACCACTATGGGTTGCATTTGATTCATGTTTTGAACCATGATTTTGTGGACCAAAACTAAAAGGGCTACAACCCGTGGGTCTCATATTGTGGTTTCTCATCAAAATGTCATTATTCGTCTCAGCAAGTAGTAATACTGATATTAAATCAGAATACTTTTGAAAGTGCTTTTGTCTATATAGCTCTTGTAAAAGCATATTTGAAAGATGCATAGTGGATAGAATTTTTTCCAACATTTCGGCATCAGTGACTTTTTGTCCGCATAACTTCAATTTTGATGTTATTTGGAACAAGGCAGAATTGTAGTCACTTATAGATTTGTAATCCTGGAATCGTAAATTGATCCAGTCATATTGAGCTTTTGGTAAAAGGACCTTTTGTTGATGGCCATACCTTTCTTGGAGATTATCCCATAATTCTTTAGGGTCATCTACCAATAAATACTCAGACTTCAAACTTTCATGAAGATGGTGACGAAGAAAGATAATGGCTTTTGCCTTATTTTGGGGAGTAACTGAATTATTTTCAGCAATTGTGTTTTCGAGGGCATTTGCTTTTAAATGAGCCAAAGCGTCAACTTTCCATTCCAAGTACTTTTGACCAGATAAATCAAGGACGTCGAACTCTCTTTTGCTAATATTAGCCATGGATGAACTACACCATAATTAATTTAAAATTAATTAGTTAATGGTTTGCATAGATAATACAATTAGATATACGTAATATGCTTATGTAATAAACACTATATAGATAACTACTACGTACACTAACAATAATTATATGTATCATTTTATTACGTAGTTCGTATAAGTATAAATGGTTTTCATCAATATTTATACTTCATTTTGAGATGCAGGTCCATTTTTTTATGTGTATGTTTATAGAACATATTATTGAATATGACATATCTAATACGGATTAATTACTTGAGTGGAAATAAATTGCTACTTACCATCATTATTTCTTGGTCTGATGTATGTAGCCCCATGTATTTAATTTTATTAATATACATATGCAGTAGTATTTAAAGTTTAAATTCATGAATTAGTGCATGTCCTCTCAAAGGAAAAAGACAATTAAAATAATGATATTAAAGTTTAAATTCATGAATTAGTGCATGTGTATGGGGCTATGGACAGTATGGCCCGTGACTAAATTTGCTCACATGTTTATGTCGGTATGAGCTTGTTTGACCATATATGATCACCTTATTTATTTTACTTGAATATTTTGAAGTTAATCTTTTTCTACCTTTCTTACCATTCCTTTAATTGACATAACTGAAATACTAATTATCAAGATGAAAAGGTCGGAAAAGAATTTGAGACGGTACGTATGCATGAATATATATAAATTATTTAAATCCTTTCAATTTTTTTCATGAATATATATAAATTATTTAAATCCTTTCGTTTTTTTTTCTTATGCAGAAAACAAACTGATTTTTTTTTATATAAATAATATAACTGAGTGTCGATCATACACATGGACATACTGGTATATTTATTGTGCATGTCAGTATATGGATAACACTCCGTATATGTAAACACAACCATATACGTGGTTTGCTAGTAAATGATCTAGGTGTAAAAGTTGTCTTTTAGCTACTATTATTGTCTGCTAAGTTACCAGACTGTACATGTCATGTATAGCATTAAATTTATTGTTTCTTCATGCCTTTAAAATATCTAGACTATTCTTCTTCACACCGGTGAATGGTGATAACTCTTTAGTATGTATATACCTCTATATCATGTAGCTAGCTGGAAGTTTTCACAAATCCGTAAGTTTTTTTTTTCTTCTTTGCATATTAACCACTTCTACTCTTTCCCTATTATTTCTTTTACTATCTATCTTCTCTTCTCATAAATATAAAGAACAATTTAGTAGTATATATACTTATCTATCTCTCGTAGTTAAGATTTAATTTTATATTGTGTGTATATTCGTTCTCATAGATTATACAAAAGCATATTTAAACCTCAGTTCATACTTATCATATTTTTCGTTGTGCTGGGGAGAAAATATAAAAATATTATTTGAGAAGATAAATAAAATCGTTATTCGAAGTTACGGTATGTCAACTTCAACCTGTTTATATATAGAAAATATGACAATAATTTTTCGGATATGGAGGATCCCAATTGTTGGGCAACCATAGAGCATACTTCTTATAGTTTTGAATATATCTATATATAAACATGTTTATAATTCTCATCCTCTGATTTTTTTTTCAGATGAATTGATAAATTCCTGAAAAATATATACCTGTTGGGAAGATGATGATTTCAGGGATTTGAAGCAAACTTGTGCTGATAACGTTTTATAATATGAAAGGAAATGAGCAGAAGATCAGGGAGAGAAAGTATAGTAGAACACTTAGTGATAGAGGTGTATTAGAGAGTGTGATAATGGTGTAATGAAGGTGTGTTGATTACAATGGAGAAGACTCCTATTTATAGGAGAAAAGCTAAGCTTATTAGGATTAGAGGATAATTGTGAACCACACAATTATCATCTAGAATCATAATTATGATTTCCTAATTATTTATACAATGGTGATAAGTATTCCTAATCAGGAATAGTTGGAAGATGACTAATTCAATATATTTCAACAATTTTGAATATATTTTGGGATCCTTTTTTCATAACGATGATGAGGCAATTTTTGGTATGTACACATCCCTGTCTTGATAGTCGTTGGTGAATCGAGTTACATAGAGACACATGTAAAGATAAAAAATGAACTGTTATACTACCTACTCCCTCCGCTCTTATTAAAGTTCTCACTTTCCTTTTTGGGATGTCCCTTATTTAAGTTCACACTTCCATTTTAGGAAACAAAACAGTGCAAAACAGTGCCAAACAGTGTCCAAACAGTGTCAAACAGTGCACTCCACAGTAAAGTCAAATTCATTTTCTTAATATGTGTGAAGTCAAACTGGGAACTTAAATAAGAACCGGAGGGAGTATGAAACATTGATTCCTAGACTTATAGATATTATAAATAAGTAGTAGTTTATACAAAAATGCTAAAGGTATCGAAATTTGTACCCCACCCTATTTTTGTTGCTCACAAAAGCAACTCATTAAAGTGGAGCAATTCATTTATTGAAGTGGGCTTTTGTGAGTCACAAATATAGGTTGGGGTACAAAATGGGGTACCTATAGCAGGGTTGTAGTTTATATTCAACTTTCTCTTTGTATAGCACTTATACAATGATGTAGGGTATATTCATATCTTAAAGCCATGAATAAGCAAAATTTTAAAAAAACAGAAACCCTTGGTATAGTGATAGACACAGTAGTATTCTTGAAAATTATATTTAGCCCATGGTTTAATTACATATATACTCTCTACCGTTCCTATTAAAGTTCTCATTTTCCTTTTTGGGATGTCCCTTATTTAAGTTCACACTTCCATTGCACGAAACAAAAACGTGCCAAACAGTGTTCAAACAGTGCCAAACAGTGCACTCCATAGTAAAGTCAAATTTATTTTCTTAATCTGTGTGAAGTCAAACTGAGAACTTTAATAGGAACCGGAGGGAGTATACAAGACTACCTCCCGTAACATGAAATCTGTCAAGCTAGGGTACCGTTGAGGTTACATTATTTTCTCATTAAACTATTTTTGGTTAAAACAACTCATACAAATATTCACACTAACATTGAGAGACAAATAAAAAATAACAGACTCTTATATATAGACATAGACAAATAAACCCTTTATTTTATAGGGAAAATAATTAAAATATCCCAAACTTAAAAGAGGCGTGAGATAAACATCCCGAAATTTCATATGTAATTTAAATACACCAAACTTTATATAAAATATTATTTTACCACCATGGTTATGTGTAATTTCTTTCAAAAATGTAAATTTTTTGTGTTAAATGCATAATTTAAAATACGGAGTAGAAAATTGAAAACATTATAATTATATAGAGTGGTGGGTAATACTATTTATTTTACAATGGAAGCTTAGAATGTTATTTGTATCTTTACGAATGCTAATTTTATCAAGTTTGAAAGAAATTATTCATGACCATGGTGGTAGAATAACTTTTTATATAAAGTTTGGGGTATTTAAATTTCATATATACGTTTGGGGTATTTATCTCACACCTCTTCAAAATTTGGTGTATTTTAATTATTTTCCCCAATATTATATCGCTTGTCTCAATTTTTGGGAGAAAACCTCACAAAATGTAATTGATAAAATTTAATTGTAGAATATTTAGTGTGGTGTCGTAGTATATTGATAAAATATCGTGTGTTTCAGAATATATTGTACTCTAGGTTGTTTTTCACTTGCGTATGTACACTTACATATAAAAACATGAAACATTGAAACCCGTTAGAATCATATAAACAATACATTTTTTCTATTAAAAGACCGCAGAGATTCTTCAAGAAGACCCTGCATAGTTAAACATGAAACCCGTGAGAATTATAAAAAAACATTTTTTCTATTAAAAACAAAAGAGATCGTTCGAGTAAGCACTATTAAATGTAACAAAAAACAAACACTAAGTTTTGATCCAAAATATGCTATCACTCATTGAAGAAGCTATCAAATAACTTACAAAACTAATTCGGTTGAAGTTTGAAAAAATCCTAAAATTAGCAGTATATTTGTTGAAGCCACCTACACAATTAAGGAGAACGATATTGATAGTTTAAGATAGATGTACTCCGTATTCAGCAACAATGTTCCATTAACAATAAAACCACCATAGATGGAAAGCAAAAAAAGACACTAAAACTACTCACTTTAATTTTACACTTGGATAAGATACGAAGTAAAACAGATACTAACACTCGTTTGAGTGAAATCAGATTTTAAACTTTTCATGAGCAAATTTGAATTAATACTCAATACGAAAAAACAATGAAGCAATGTCATAAAATGATAGTGTAAATGCCATTAAAAGTATTTATCATTACCGTCATATAATCCTTGTAGGTGCAACTAATGTTCATCCTCGATGACTGCTTAGAGCAGGTAGGCCTCCTCGCCGGTATGGCGTTATATATATAGAAGGCAGGAGCAACTGAGTATGGTAAGAAGTTAGACGCATTTTTTTGCTGGTACTCTAATTCACAGGCTTTAGTTTTATTTTATACGGAGTAAAAGTGTACTACCCGACCCCCAATGAGTTGTCACTTCCTTGCACATCTTTTGATCAACCTTACCTCTCTGCATTCTCCCTTGAGAAGCCAAATAGACAGTTTATTGAGCCCAACAAAACTTTGCTTCCAGACGCACCTTTTCTATTCCTAACCCAATATTTACACTCGTATAAGGCTCCTACTTTATTGACCCGTTTTTACCCTTGACTTTGGGTGGAAAAATGGACAAAAATCCACCTCCTTTTGTATATAGATAGATTTTGGAATTCTTTGTAAGTTCAATCTTTTTAATTAATGAGAATTAATTCTTTCCTTCTCCATACTTTATCGATGAAGGGGTTAATTGCATGATCTTTATTTGATTTGTGTTTAAATAATTTAATTGATATCTATTCTAATATAAAAGCAAAAGAAGTTTGAGGAATAGTGTTCTCTCTAAGAAATGTCAACATCATGTTTTATTTTAATTTTTATTTGACACTTTATTTTGATGAAAATACTAATTTTCTATTGGTTGAAATGGGTGGTGGGAATAGTCAAATATTTAAACCTTATCTATTCTAATATAAAAGCAAAAGAAGTTTGAGGAATAGTGTTACCTCCAAGAAATGTCAACATCAAGTTTTATTTTAATTTTTATTGGATACTTTATTTTGATTAAAATACTAATTTTCTATTGGTTGAAATGGGTGATGGAATAGTCAAATACTTAAACCTTATCTATCTATTCTAATATAAAAGCAAAAGAAGTTTGAGGAATAGTGTTCCCTCCAAGAAATGTCAACATCAAGTTTTATTTTCATTTCTATTGGATACTTTATTTTGATTAAAATACTAATTTTCTATTGGTTGAAATGAGTGCTGGGAATAGTCAAATACTTACACCTTATCTATTCTAATATAAAAGAAAAAGAAGTTTGAGGAATAGTGTTCCCCCCAAGAAATGTCATCATCAAGTTTTATTTTAATTTTTAATCGATACTTTTGATGGAGTATATGGGTCTGAGCCCCAGGACCCACATACCCGGAAGAATAGAGCACAAGACAACAGAGTGGCGCCCTCGTCGGCCAAGACGCCCCCGTCGGCCGAAAAGGGGCCAACTCAGATTACGGTCCTGAGTTTAAGGGACTCGGGTGCCCTCGTCGGCCGCGCCCTCATCGGCCGAGCCCTCGTCGGCCACGCCCTCGTCGGCCATGAAGACCTCCCAGAATCGGATTCTATACTTACTCATTCGTACAGCCCATTAGAGGCTTTGTATTCGGCCCAGTAGCGGTCCAGTTGTAAATGGGCCTCCCAAGCCCAAGGCTTGGGAGCCCAACCCTAATTTTCTCTATAAATACTCCCCTTGGGAGTAGTTATAGGGGTTACAAATTCATTCTATTGAAGCATATTATCGCACTTCTCTCTCTAGCTCTCACTTCTCTCTAGAATCTAGGAGTTAATACTCTATCATTTGGTGCTCTCGTTGAGAGCTAGAACAATCAAGTTAGCACCCTTCGTCGCTACCAAGCACAGCTGACCACTGATCATGGGGAGAACTAAGTCAAACCGCAACCTCGTCAGCAAAGCCATCCCTGAGGACCAAGAGCCCAGGGAGCACGATGAGGACGCCACGGCCGACCAGGTCGGCGGAGGGGACCTCTTCCAGGAGGCCTTCAACCTCACGACGGACCTCCGCAACCAACTCAACAGCGGAGCCCCCGACGCCCGCCTCGGCCTGGAAAAGAGACGGGCTGAGAAGACGGACCACGCCCCGGCCCAGCCTATGGCCGCGGCCTCTCCGTCCGTGGATCCACAGGTCCAGGCCGCGCTGTCGGTCATCATCGCCAGCCTGGCTCAGAACCCCACCGTCCTCAGCGCACTCTTGCCAAGGACCGGGGGAAACGTCACTCCACCTCCTCATCCCCAACCGTTGGCCGTCCAGATAGGCAACAATGAGGGGGTTGTGGCCCAGGACACGGCATCGTCCCACTCCCACCCTGCTTCCCCTCTTCGGCCCGGGCAGACCCCAGCGCGTGGAAAAGCCTCTGCCTTCAATAGGCTGGGTGACACGCGCCGTCGTCCGGTTTCGGAGAGGATGGCGGGACGGATTGGTGATCTTCGTCCTGGCTCGCCAAGGGAAAGTTTGGGGTCTGTGTCCCGGACAGCGGACCAGCCCCGCCCGGACAAGGGCAAGGGGAAGTTGCACGAGGATGACGCGCGTCACCAGATCAACGCGGCCCACAACGAGCGCCTGAGGAACCAGCCGGGCGCCGCTGCGGCCGACAGCGACCCCCGGGA